TGACGGAATCTTGATTTCAGTACTTTCTTCCTGAGAAAGCCATTTTTTTCAGATTTTCAGTCAGAATCTGATGGTGTGTAGTCATACGACCATGGCTAGTACAATCAAAAGCCAGTTGGGTACTCACCAATACACTTGAAATTAAAAAAGAGACTCATTTTTGCGGGACTTTTTCTAGTACATATTATAGCTGATATCAAGATTTTTTAGAATGTATATTCAGAGTTCTCCAGCCAGAAGCCGTTACTGAGATATCAGTGTTTTTCAAACAATCTCCTGATTCAGACCAGAATGAACTGATCTTGATTTCTTACCAAGAATCAGTGACCATGACTCTTGAAAAATTTTTCAGATCAGGTCATTCTAATCTGAATCTTATTATTGATTGTATAGGGTCAGAATCTGATAAGATTGACCTGAAATCAGGATTCTGTCAGAGATTATCGCAAGATTGTTGACTTGTGAACCAGGTGATGACTATTTTTACTGACCGACTGACTTTACTGACCAAATTTGATTGGTTTATCCAATGGTTACACCAATCAAATTTGGTCAGTAAAGTCGGTTGGTCAATAAAAATAGGATCATGGTAAGCTAAAGTCACTTTCTAAAATCACTTATGATTTTACAGTAGCATCCACAATTTTCGACCAATCAGAAGCAGTCCATGCTTTATTGTGCAGCAGATCTATCGTGACGTCGAGACTAAAGTTAGAAAATGTTCAATGGTGAAAAGTGATTTTAGAACGAAGTGATTTTTAGCTTTCCATGACCTAAAAATAGTCACCACCCACAACCATTCAAATTTCAAAATGGCAAAAGGATGCTGGATCAAGATGACTCATACTTAGCTTATTATAGCCAATTAGAATGAATAGTTTTTCGAAGTGCATACACGATTATATCATGCTTTTTACATCATCAGTCATGCCTTTTGTTTTTCATCCTTTGAGACTCAGAAACGTGTAGGAATGTCTAATACGTGATACGACATCTTCGACATTTTAAACCACAGCAAACTGGATAACTGTGTTCGACCAATCACAATGATCCTCGTCACTGTACCATTTCTGCCATTCTGCAATTCGATACAGGCTACTAAATTATTTACTTGTTTACGACAATTTTTCAAAATAAGTTTCACTTCAAATATCGTACAATCTTTTTACACGGTTATTTTACATTCTTCTAGATATTAGGAACATCTACCAATAACAACATCAGTATTAAAAGATCATAACCATGATTCGGAATTTGATTATTGTACTCGTTGCAGTATTAACAATAACAACTCAAGCCAAAGAAATTGCGGAGGAAGACAACGTGCTTGTATTAACGAATGATACATTTGATGAGGCACTCGAAAAACATAAACATATTTTGGTCGAATTTTATGCCCCATGGTGGTGAGTTCATTCAGATTTCAATCATTTTTCTGTTTAGATCCGAGTTGTTAGCTTAAACTGATGTTTTGTCGAAAGAGTCGTAAGTTCGTCTGCATTTTAATTTGTATGATGGAGTAAAACATTTGAGACGCAAGTTTTGGGAAACTTTATTTTATATATTTTTGGTTACTAGAAAACTTAGTTTAGTGATTAAAGGATTTCAACTGAGAGAATTGAGAAAAGAAATGTACCGTATATGTCTTATTTTGAACTAATGTTTCACATGTTTTTGTGTTGTTTTTAGTGGACATTGCAAGCAGCTGGCACCTGCATATGCTGCCGCAGCTACACAATTGAAAGACAGTGACAGTGATATTAAATTAGCTAAAGTTGACGCTACAGTAGAACAAGATTTGGGTCAAAAATATGGAATTAAAGGTTATCCAACCATTAAGTTTTTCTCTGATTCTAATGTCATCGAATATAACGGTGGTCGAACAGCTGATGATATTGTTAATTGGTTGAAAAAGAAAACAGGTCCTGCTGCAACTGAATTGAACACAGTAGCAGAACTCAATACGTTGAAAGAAGGAAATCAAGTTGTTGTTATTGGAGTATTCAAAGTATATATGATTTCTAATAATAAAAGGTTGCTCTATTTATAGTTTACTTTCTTTTTTTTAGAAAACCGATAGCGATCTGGCCGAATCGTTCCTTCAAGTTGCTAAGAGTCGAGATGATCTTCCATTTGCTATCACATCTAATGCTGACATATTGAAAGAATTAAATGTGAAAGCTGATACTGTTGTTCTTCTTAAAACAGTAAATATTTATATCCTTCGTCTTTTTTTTTGTCTATACAAACATTTGCTTTGTTCTAGTTTGACGAAGGAAGAAACGACTTAACAAAAGATATTACCGAAGCTACAATTCGCGAATTCATTCAAACAAATCAATTGCCAATGGTTGTCGAATTCAATGCAGAGGTATATGAAAGAATGTGAAATACCTTATCACGCAGAATGATAAGGAGTTTACTTAGAGTTCAATTACTAATAGATATAAAATTCTTTCCTGTTGGGCAAATGTTTTTTGTATGCATCGAATAAATTCCAATTGTTGTTTTTGTTTTAGTCTGCTCAAAAAATATTTGGTGGAGATATTAAAGATCATATTCTGTTGTTCTCTGGGAAGAAAACTGATGTTTATGAGCAATTACAAGAAGAATTTAAACAAGCTGCAAAAGTTTACCGCGGAAAGGTAAGTTGTTGTTTATTCGAATAAGGCTGAGATTGTGACGTTACGTCTGCCTCAATGTCCGTTTAGGTCTTATTCGTGTCAATTGATACAGATGATGAAGAAAACGAGCGTGTACTTGAATTTTTTGGTCTCAAACAAGCAAATCTACCAGCTATGCGTTTAATAACACTAAAAGATGAAATGACCAAATTTAAACCCGAATCAAATGAAATAACAGCCGATGTCGTCAAAACGTTTGTACAATCTTATTTGGATGGTAAATTAAAACCTCATTTATTAACACAAGATCTACCGGATGATTGGGATAAACAGCCCGTCAAAGTATTAGTTGGAACAAATTTTGACGAAGTTGCTAAAGATAAAAGTAAAACAGTTTTGGTTGAATTTTATGCTCCATGGTGTAAGTAAAAAACATTTTGTCTATCGCAGTCATATTTTTATTTATTTATCTTTTCGTTTGAAGGTGGTCATTGCAAAGCTCTCTTTCCAATTTGGGATCAACTCGGTGAGCAATACAAAGATCGAGATGATGTTGTTATTGCCAAAATTGATTCAACTGCAAATGAATTGGAAGACGTTAAAATTCAAAGTTTTCCAACAATAAAGTAAGTATATAAATATTGTAAAAAAATGAACTAGCATCTCATAAGAAAAGAAAGAGAACAACTTGCTAACAATTTTACGTTCTCTTTAGAATGTTTCCAAAAGATTCAGATGAAGTTATCGATTACAATGGTGAGCGAACATTAGAAGGTTTCTCAAAATTCATCGATAGTAATGGTTTAGAAGGTGGTCAAGCCTCTGAAGAGGTAAATTTGTTTTTTTGCTTCTCTGCAAATCAAAATTGTATGCCGACTATTTTCTGTTCAGACCGCCGAACATGCAGAAGGTGCTGGTGATGAAGAAGAAGAACCATCTTCAGACCATACAGCTCATGTAGATTTGTAATGTGGAGTATATTTTACTATTTGGGATATTTTGGTTTCTGTGGGATGTTTGAACTATCAACCAAACGTACTATTTCTCTGGGTTTTTTCTGTCCAAAGTACTAGAAACACCACTATATGTTACTTTACTATTAACTTTTCTGCTTGAAAATAGTATTGTTCTAATTTTTTTCGACTTTGGGTTTCTTCTATCTATCTCTTTTAGCTCTAGTTATCAGAGTTATTAAATCAAAACACGTGTGATTTCTTTATGTTTTCAAATAACAGTTCTTATTTAGTCATTGATATTTATTTAACTTATACTTTAACGTTGTTATTGCTTTCAATTTGTTCTTGCTTGCCTGTTTCTTTTGTTGTTTTGTTATTGTTTTTTATTCATGTTTTTTCTTTAACTCCTCCAAAACAGTTGCCAATACATTTTAATGCAATAAGTCACGACTATCATTTAGTAGTAGATCGCACATTCGTAACATCCCAGAATGACATTATGTAAAAAAACTCATATATACTCATATAGTACAATCAAACAAGTTTATTTTTTACGTTTTTTTTATTATTCACAAAAACGTTGCTTCCTGTGCAATCTATGATTGTTTTACTTCTAACGAAATAAGAAATTATTCGTTTTGTGTGTTAATCCGATTGAGGGATAGAAACAACCTGTTGTTCAGTTTATTTACAGTGCGTTATTTTTTGTTGGCTTTATTATGTCCATTTTGTTGTGTTTTTATTGTTACCGGTTTTTTTGAAAAACAATTTAAAAAATTCATGGTGCTAGTTTGCTAGTTTGAATCAAAGAACTCCGAAAATCTGGTATTCTTAGTCGTTGTTATCAAATACAAACTTGTCAAACACTTTTTAGGTCTTTTAACTACTCATGCACTGAAATTTCATAATTATCATAAATATGATTCTCTTTTACACTTAAACAATATATTACAATGACTTTTTTCGAGTAATAGAACATCACGCTTGAGCAAAATTAAACGTCGTTAATTTTAAATTGGAAATTTAGGTTGAATGTTTACTCTAAATAGAGAGGACGGAACTCTGGGAGCAGTGACGACGATACATCCACAGATTTTGAATGTCAAATAGCGTGTGGATGGAATACTGAACGACTCTTACAACTTTGAGAATTTATTTCTCTGAATTTGTCATATAACCGCTGTATCTTTCGTACCTTTGACTCCTTTTCTCTGTTTATTACGAACGTATATTTGATGAAGTAGAGCGAAACGAAGGTTTTTAGTTTCGATTTGTCCTTAATTAAATTAACACTGAATCAGTGTTAATTTAATAATTTAATTTAAAATAGTCTTCTTTAAAAGAAATCAATTGTTACTTTCAGTTTTTCCAGATAAATTCGTGTCCACAGTTTCTAACTCTCTCTATTGTCTTTAACTCTAAACTGCCCTTACCGTGAGATTTAAATAGCAACCTGAATAATTAAAAATTTTTTTAACAGATATTGAAATGTTTCTTAGTTAAACCTCATGGCAGTTTTTACAACAATTATCTTGTAAGTCTATATATGGTTTTGTCCAAGAATTAACTTGATAGAGCGTATTTTATATGCCGTACCTGTCGATGTTCTTTCTATATCTATTGAATATTTATCACATGTTTTACACAACGGACAAATAATAGCATGAAGAACAAAAATAAAAAGTCTGATATGTTTTATAAATGGAACAATTGGTATGTTTCATAACGAATAAACTGGAAGAAAAAATAATTTTTACATGCAATAAAAATACGATATATCTATGCTCACAAAAATACATAAAAAAATACATAAAATTTTCTATCTGTGTCTTGATCGTAGACATGTGTTGATTAGTTCATCAACAACAGCTGGATCGGTCAATGTTGATGTATCGCCCAAATTTTCAATATCTGGTTCGGCTATTTTTCGTAATATTCTTCTCATTATTTTACCACTTCTTGTTTTAGGTAAATTCGGAGTGAAATGAATCACATCTGGATAAACATGAGCGCCAATGTATTCCTTCACGGAAGTTATAAGTTCTTTCTTCAATTCATCGCTTTCTTTTTGATCATCTTTTAATGTCTAAAATATACAAATATTGCTTGACTTAGTCAACGGAAAGCTTGGACATAAAACATGTTAACTCTTTTAGATCGAATCCAGGATAGTTTAGTAAATAATCACTTACCACAAAACAGTACATGCCTTGATTCTTCTTCGGATCGGGATAGCCGACAACGGCTGCTTCTGAAACGGCTGGATGAAGAACTAACGCAGATTCAACTTCGGCTGTTCCTATATTATGACCAGAAATGACTAAAACATCATCTACACGACCCGTAATCCAATGATAACCATTTTCTTTAACTTCACACCCATCACCAGTGAAATAAAAACCTAATATGATGAAAAATATGTATTGAATGAAAAAAGAATAAAAATTAAAGTTTACCTCGATAGCCCTTGAAATACACCTCAACAAAACGTTTATGATCATTGTAAAGAGAGCGAGCTTGACCAGGCCATGAATCTTTGATACACAGTTCACCTTTACATGGCGGTATTAATAAATTACGAGTTTCTTTATCCATAATCTGTGTTTGTATGCCAAAAAATGGTAGGGTTGCTGATCCCGCTTCTAATTCTGTGACATATGGTATAGGGGTTATCATAAATCCGCCTATAATAACAAATTAAAACTTAGACTTTATTAAGACAAGCATTCTTTACTCACCAGTTTCAGTTTGCCACCAAGTATCAACTATTGGACATTTTTCATTACCTAAAAATACAAATTAGAGATAAAAACAGGACTGTGTATGGCAGAAGTATATTAAAGACAATGTACAATTTGTTGATCTGTGCTCACCTACTACGCGATGGTACCATCTCCATGCTTCTGGATTGATTGGTTCTCCAACGGTTCCTAATATTCTTAGACTTTTTCTACTCGTTTTTGTTACGAAGCCATCACTGTGAGTCATTAATGAACGAATAGCTGTTGGTGCTGTATAAAATATGTTAACTTGATATTTATCAACTATTTGCCAAAATCGTGAGACGTCAGGATACGTTGGAACTCCTTCAAAGACTATACTGGTTGCTCTGTTTGATAATGGACCGTAAACAACGTAAGAATGTCCAGTAATCCAGCCAACATCAGCTGTGCACATATAAATGTCGCCTGGATTATAGGCAAACACATATTGAAATGTTAATGATACATATACTAGATAACCACCTGTGGTATGCAAAATTCCTTTTGGTTTGCCTGTAGAACCCGATGTGTAAAGAATAAATAGAGGATCTTCGGCATTCATCGGCTCTGGTGGACAGACATTTGATGCATTAGCCATTTCTTCATGATACCAATGATCACGCCCATCAACCCATTCAATTGCTGGTACAGATAATGCGTTCTCAGTTTTATCATATCCTCTGTTAACAACAATAACGGTTTTAACCTGGGAACATTGTTCTTGTTTTAATGCTTGATCAGTTTTGGACTTTAATGGTGTACATTTATTGCCTCGATAACTAAAATCACTCGTGATAATAATAGACGACTTACAATCATCAATACGCTCGGCTAAATTATGTGCACTAAATCCAGCAAATACAACGGAATGCACAGCACCGATCCTTGCACAGGCAAATAATGCAATACATGCTTCTAATATCATCGGCAAGTAGATTGTTACACGATCACCCTTTTTGACACCATGTCGTTTTAACACGTTTGCAAATTTTTTCACTTGTTCCAGTAATTCTCCATATGTTAAATATTTCACAGTTCCATTTAATTGATCGGGCTCAAATATAAATGCATTTTGCATAGCAACTAAACTATCTTGTTCAATGTGTCGCTGAAATATTGAAAGATGACGCTTATTATTAATCTGACTGATAAAAAGAAAGTTAGATGGAAAAGACTGATAAGAATCAAACTATTCCAACTTACATCAAGACAGTTATAACAAACATTTAGAATACCATCTTCATACCATTTAATTGAAACACCTTTATCTGATAGATAGTCGAATGATGTATTTTTAATAATTGTTGGAAATTTAAACCAGTGTAAACGTTCGGCAGCTAATTTCCAGAATATATCTGGCTGTTCAATAGATAAACGATATAATTCTTGATATTCATCAAGAGATGAAATTTTAGTTGGTAATGTTTTTATATTAGAAGAAAATGGTGAAGACGATGCTGATGTTAGTGAGGAAGAGCTGGTTATTGATTCTGTTCCATTCGTTGAATTGGCATAAACAGAACATTGGTTTGATGAATTACATGAAGATGTGTCGGTTGTTGTAGATAATGTTGTTCCGGATAGATCTATGTTTGTGTTTGCATTCAGCGATGTAAATGAATTTTGTTTCATATCTACTGGATTCAACATTATAGCAACGCCGCTAACAAATTCTAGAAAAAAAAGGTATAAAATAAATACTGGTATTCATACATTCTCAACCTGCCACAAAGAGAAATACTAATTGAACTCAACATCAACATCAACTAAATGAAACAACTTCATAATAAGTTCTACACAAAATGATGCAACTCATGCATAGTGATGATCACTATAATTCAAAATAAGTATTTCATAGATCATTTTTGATATAGCACTCCAGACTTTATCTAAACTGTGAAAAATATATCAAAAAACAAATCTTTTAATTATCTAATTTATATACAGTAGATTTAATTAGTCAAAATGAGAAATGATCGAACGAGATGATATAAGGTTACTTGTTGCAAACATTATCGTTCAATTTGGTGTTAAATATTTTGTTTTTAATTTTTAGCAGAAAATGACTTTCATTCGACCATATTTCATTTCTTTATTTACCGTAGTGAATATAATGTATGTTACCCTTTGTGTGTCTTTCTCTTGACGTATAGACAAACATAAAGGAGAAATGTCACAGATTAGAACAAACCTAACAAGGAAAGAAACATTTCTTCTTGATAAGCTGACTTTTCGACAAAAAAAAAGTAGTAAATAACATTCACTAAACTTTCATCGAAAAATAGTTCATTCAAAATACTTTCTGGGCCCTTGGTTCATGATTTTCTTCCTGAAAGAGCTTTTCTATGCACTCTCACGACTCTGCTATCTGCTAAATCTTCTCGGTGCTTAAGCTTCTTAACCATACCCTACAGTAAAAAATTTTTGATAAAGCATTTTTCGATGAAATTCCTTTTCGGTGCACAGTTTTCGATGAAAGTTCACAGTACTAATAAATACTCAGGAAGAAGTGAACTATTTAAAAATAATACAGTCTAATCATTGGATACTATAACAAAAGATTCTAAGGAGCATCATAGTTTTATATTAGTAAGTAAAGCTCGGTGATATGTTTGAAAATACAATAAATATGCTTTTTTATTTGATTCGTGAACATCTTCATAAACGTCGAACTATTTACCGATTAATCAGTTCGTTCTTCTGTTAAAACAAAAAACTGTAAACATTGTTTTTAATATATTCTTTTGTCTTTCATGGTGGTCACAATCTTACTTACCAGCAATAACAATTAATATTTATCTAACAGTAGTAAAGAGCTGAGTTTTTCGTTTAGACAAAGGTTAAGGAATCTTGACGATGTACAGAATATACTATACCGTATCTAAGTTAAGATCAGTTCTTTTACAATAACAATTACAAAACTAATACATGCATAAAGAATATATTATAAATTTCAAATAATATATGATATCTACAAAATCCTTTACCGTTGTCTGTAGCTTTGTTGCTATCTTCGTGCACATATGAGCTTGTGCTCATGTAGTACATCTTGGATTAAGTCGCTACATCTATTCAGAGAAAATTACATGTCAGAACATCGCAACTCTTGAACCGGCACGGTGGGTAGGCATCCAGGCGCACATTTGGCCAAAAATTCAAAGTCTATTTTTTCCGGATTCAATAGGGCGAAAATATACTTTGATATGTTCTCTATTTAATGGCATAAACAATTTTGTTTTAGGTGTTAAGGATTGTGAGAAAACGCGTAGAAAAAAGTAGCCTGAAAACACAGGCGCATTACATAAAAATTATTATTTTCTATTTCTAACAAAGCTGTAGATAAAAACGATGAAAATTTTGAATCTAGACTGTCTAGGCTTTCTGATAGTGAAGAAATTTCTCAGTTAATCTATACCTATACCTTCAGAGAAATAGAATTCGTTTTCAAACTAAGCGATTTTTCATTCAGCTGTGATCAGTAGAATGAGATTCACAAATTTTTCCAGCCCTCAAACTGACTCAAAATTTGCACACATGTTTATCTATTTGTCCTGCATCAATATAGCTAGTATAAATGTTTCTGAATCATACAGTAAGTTTTCCAAAACACTCTGGGGTTTTTTCGGTAAAATCCACGAACACGTTTATTCATAGGTCATATTTTGAATCAGCTTATTGAGCTGCATCAAATCATGTTTAACATACTAAGTTCTGGATCGAAAAAATATCATCAAATGAACCTGCAAGATAGATTTTTTCCTCAAAACGTCAAATATTTCTTTAAAAGCACCAAAGATGACCAAACAATGATAATTAGTCATAAAAAAAAGAGTTTACGAGCAAACTTGAACTTTTCTTTAGAAATGATATTTTGCCTAAAGTTTTGGAAAAAAATTGCGCATTTTAACATCCTAATATGCACGTCTAACAATAGATAAATCCAATTGCATATATATGTGAACGTCTAAACTAGGATTGGTCTGAAATATTTTAGGCCAATCTAAGTTTGAAAATAAATAAGAGTTTGGACGGTGACATATATTCAGCAAAAAATCTAGTTTTATCTGTATTTTTTCCTTACAAAAGAACTTCCACGTACATCTTAAGTAAGAATATCTGGAATCTCTTTTAAACTCACATTTAAAATCTGCTGAATTCTATCGAGAACAGAAAATTCTAAAAAAAAACCTAGACATAAAAATGTAAATATTTTAAGAAAATATTCTTTTACAGTTTAATAGACAACAAAAGATTGAATGTGAACTTAGCCTGAAATTTTATTCTTCGTGATCTGTCCTTCGAGTAAAAAAAACAAAATACACAGAACAACGAACAAATGACAGAAGGTAAACGTTCTCTAAAAAAAGTTATTTACTAAAGATTTATTCAACCATACAATTTATCAATTTTACACGCATACCATTTCAAAAATAATTCATTTATTCATTCGTCACTAAACAATTGTCCCTATGTGCAATAGAAATCTAACGAAAGAAGTCTTCTTTTATTCTTTTTTATCATTTTCGATTTCTCTTTCATTATTTTTACTAAACGAGAGATTTTTGTTTTTCTTCGTTTTCTTTCTCTCTTGCTGTGTATATATGTTGTACTCTTATATTTTTTTATACATGTTAATGTAGTTATATCTATTTGTGTTCAAGTTCTGACATGAGAAAAACTAAACTCATGAATAGGAAAGAAAACGTGAAAAAGTTTAATGCATGAATACAAAAAAAAAGAGAAATAGTTTTATTCTTATCTAATAAAAATATGATTAATAAAGACCGATTGGATAATTTTATTTCTTCTGTTGACACTCATGCCTATCGTTCTACATATTTTTACCTGTGTTTCTCTCGATGATGACTAATACAGGTAAAAATATGTAGAACGTTATATCTACTACTACTACTACTTTACGAAGAAGGTGTGATGGTGTTAATTTTGGATTTTGTAGATGTTATGGTGGTGAACGGCAATTTAGACTTTTAGACTTTCTTCTAGAAAAAGTCGGACTAGCAGGAGGGGGTGGGGACGGCAGTATGAGAGTGAGTCACCATACAAGAAGTTCAAGTTGAGCAACGGCAATGGATGTTATAGGATAGTTAGAAGATCCTAAAAGTCTAAATCGTCGATCACCACCATAACATCTACAAAATCCAAAAAATCACTTCTTTTTTATTACTTAAAATTTAAGTTAAGTTAGCATTGGCAAAACTGCATGCGGACACTTATGCCCGTTTAAGAATTGAGAGAAAAGGTACCAGATGGACTTGTCACTAGTATTATTAGTAGTATATGATTTATGATAGCCAAATGCCGTCGTGCCACCCACTATCACGTATCGAAATGTTTTCCAAGTATTACACACAGTTAACTCAAAGCTTGAAAAATTCAAATATATTCAATTTTCATTATTGAACTAAAATCTATGTTCTGCAGAAGATGCTCAGTTAGCCTAGATCAATGTGGAATTTTCCTTTAAGATAACTTTAATTAATATGAACTTAAACTAATAAGCATTAATAAAAAATAAATGATTTTTTCCGTTAATAAGAGGGTTCGTAAAAGTTTGTACATACAAATTCATATTCAACTTACTTATCTCTAAGTTTAAATTTGAATTTTGTCCTTTCTTAAACATACAATACAACTATATGCTTGATTCAACTTCAAAGAAAACTGTAACATATAAAAACAATGTTTTCAAAGAGATACGATCGTCTATCGTTCATACGATAGAAATTAAAAGAAAACCGCATTCAACTAAATAATTTATTTTTAGCAGGAAAAATAACAATAAACCCAAAAAAATAAAAACATTTGACTAGTAAAACTGAAAGAAAATGTCATGCCTTCTGTTGTTTTTATATAGCAATAAAAAAAAGCAAAGAAAAAAAATATTATAAAGAAAAAACTGTATTGCTACTTTTGATCAAAACTCTTAACTAAATTTGAAAACATATACAACATATGAGATGACGAACTAGAACAAAAATTATCCTTCGTGTATCTATTTCTAGTTACATTATTTCTACAATAAACTGGTTTAGTTAAATTAATACTAAGAGATTGTTGTTGTTTTTTCAAATAAAAATATTGTAAAAATTCATGTACGGAATGTTGTGAATGTTTAATGAAAAGTTCATTAAAAATAAAATGAATCAAATTTGATCCATTGATTACTTCATTAGATGGATATACAATGGAATCTGACTTTCTAAAATAAATAACAGAACAGTTTTCTAGAAATTTTTACTATAGTTATTATCACAGCAATATGTCATTTGACATAATAACATTTTAAACAAGTTATTATCATTAATAGTATTCAACTACCTTTTAGCTGGAAATAGTATAATAGTTGGATAATGAGACACTGTCAGATGCCACGAAAGATCATGTTGATCAGCTTGTATTCTAAAAATAAAACAACAATAAACTAATTCATATTTGTATGTGTACAACTTGCCTAGTAAATAATAAACTATTCATTTGATTAAAGAATTGCATTGCTCGATAAATATGTGACCAAATTTGACGACAAAATCCACACCAGTTTGTATAATAAACAACTAATACGTGCTAAATAAAAGAAGTACAATGTTTTATTTATTCTAGAATTTACAGAAAATGTGTAATTAAGTTCACACATCAAACTTCTTTTAGTATATATATTGACTATCTGTTTCTCTTTTGGTGGTACAAATGTACCGGTATGTTAAATAAATTATTTTTACCATTTCAGGATTCAAGACAATTGTCTCAAAATTTTTTGTTGTTAATTCAATAATAGAATATGTCTGTTTTGAGTTGATATTTGTATTTTCATTATTCAATGAAAATTCATTTGTATTTTTATTCATTAAGCTAGTTGCTAATTGTCTTGAGAGAAGATTGAGATTAATGTCCATTATAAAACGATCTGTAATTTAAACATCAAAAATTTCAATAGATTAGTAAAATAGTTTATTCAATCAAATAAATGAAAGAAAAATTGGAAAAAACTTACATACAGATATTTTCAGATCGAATAGAACTATCGTTCAAAACATAATGCTGTTCGTTCTGAAATAAAAAACATAAAGTTATAACATTTCTATCGTTCAATTTGAATTCGACAAGTGTTCATCCATTTCTTTTCCACACAACTATTCATTGAGGATATGCTCAGAATTGTCAGATGCTTAGGACAGAACAGCGGATTTTTTTTCCAAAATGCGAGAAAAAAGCGGAAATGCATTTTTTACAATATTAGTTCATTTTTCGCCAAACGCAAAGGGATATTAAAAAAAATGTTCTACCGCTTTATAGCGGTTCCACTTAAGAAACACAAAGGAAGTACAAAACGTCATTTAAATCTCAATTTGAACTGATATTGGCTTTTTGTGGATGCGGTTTCTGATCAGTCGTCATAAATTTCAAGAGTTATGTATGGCAGAATAAAATTTAATTCAAAATTTTTTCGCCTACGACAGTAGCACTTAATGATTAAGGTTTTCTGGCTGTGTTGGCTTCCTTGATGATTTAGTATTTCACTATTTTTCACACCCCCTTTCAGCAGCACTTGAAATAAGCTAATGTTTTTCTGTTACCGCTCACTTCCGAGGCAAATATCTGATTTAGTTCCTAAAACAGTGCGAATCTGTTTTATAAAAGTTGCAAAAGCATTGTTTTGACGGATCATTCAGTAAATTTTTTATGAGAAAATGTAAAAATCTTCATTGCAGAAAAAAAACAAATCCATGAAAAGCGGACAAATTGTGGACAACGTACACTTAGCGGAAAAACGACAGAAAGCGGAATTTGTCGGTAAAATGCGGACTATCTGGCAACTCTGGATATGTTTGTCAATTTTCTACTTCTATCGAATATACTAGTCTACAAGACTTAAAGACAAGAAAGTTGAGTAAAACTGAAACATACTTTGTTTTGTATAACAACTATTGATCGTGTACTGTTTATACCCAATATTTTTCCAAATTGAGGATATTGTTTACTATTAATTAAATTAAATGACCACGTTACATTTAACTTGCATAATGCACCCTCATTCTTGATTTCATTTTCATCGTCAATTAAAATATTTTGATCTTTCTTCATAATTCGACACTGTTTCTTTTTAAATAGAAGATTTGTAGTTGATACACTCGTTGTCAATTGTTTTAATGATGTATAATTATTGAACCAGTATCGACAATATTCATTTAAACATAGACTTTGAGTTGTTTCATTAAATAAAAATTGTTGACAATGATTCGTTTGGTATCGTTGATTAGAATCAAATAAATGAGTTAAATTAGGCCGACGTTTATTATTATTAATTGACAAACATAAATGATAAAGTTCATTTGTTGACGAGTGTAAAACTAAGTGTTTACAGCATGTTAATAACGGATTTGATAGCATTTTTGTACATTGACCTTGTTGAAAATGATATTTGTTACTAGTTTTTTTATACAGATATTTTAGATGATTTATCCAAAGATGATCGTTCACATTATCATTCTGGTTACAATTTGTTAAATGTAAAGATAATTGACGAAGCTGGAATATCAAACAATCAAATTATCATTTTTGTAGCGTATCAGAAAATGTCAGACATTTATCCTTGATCAGATGACTATAAATTTTGATCATTTTAAAATAGCTTCTAGAAATCTTGACAGTTCAATACCTCATAGATCAGCACATTTTAGTGTGTTACAATTTACATTGATTCGTAATTAGTTATTTCAAAAACAGTTTTGACGACTGAGTTCTTTCTAACAGTTGAGTCGGATAATGTTAGAATCTAATTAACTGTAATCTATTAACTGTAAACGAACCTTAATTTCATCCAATTGAACTTTATTTAATGGATACGTTGGAGTCAAAAACAATAGCACATTGTCATAGGACAATAATTGATCATAAATTGTCGATTCATCACTTGATACACTCTTCGAGTAGTATCGATTATTCGGTATTAACCATTTGATCATTCTATTCTAGCAAAATAGAATAGAAATTCACGTAATCAAAATAAAAGTAAGTTGGACAAAAGTAATTTGTACTTGTCTCTCATGAATCCAATTGAACAAATTATCTACAGTTAAATTGCCTGTAGTATTAAGATAAATCTTAAAAGAAAATTAAGAATAAATTTGAAAAATTCAAGAAAGAAATTATGTATTACTTCTGGTGGTGAACGTAAACTATGCAATAGAATTTTTGGGGACTGAAACATTGACCGATTATTATTTGAATATAATGCTATTAAATTTTCTATTATTGACTGGTTTAAGATGATACCAAACCGAACTGCATTTTCATTATCTATTCTAGATGAAAACTCGTCAATATCATCATGAATCACACCTTAACTACTCATATCACATACTATATTCAAGATATTTTAGAGCTGTTTCAGTAAATAATGAGTTATAACGTCGATGAGCTTTGTTTTGAAAATCAAAATATCCCAGTACGACAGTCTAGAATAGAAATTAAATCAAATGATCAATATATAACGAACAAAACTAACTCACTTCATATTGAACACAAAAATCTAAAAATTTTTCAACATTGTCTAAACGAGTGATTGGATAACGTATATTATCAATAAACTGAATCAAATTTGAGAATATTGGTGGTCCAAAGTATTGGTAGCCACGTGAATTTTTTACGTAAAGCATCATATATGGAAAGTAATCTAGTTTATAAGTTTGACGACATTGACCAACATGAATAAAACAATTGATTGATATAAATTTTACCTAAAATGAAAGATAAGCTAATTTAAATTAATCGAATAATTCGCAATCACATTACTAACATGAAATGTGTCCACTGTAGTATTTGCATTCATTTGAATTTGTTCATAGTAATAATATGCCGCTTTTTCATATGGTTCTCGCATACGACGACTAATACCACAATGATCTGAAAAAGGAAATCACAACAACAGCTGTTTTGCAATTCTACTGTCTTGTTTGTATAAAAAGAACTTTTCATTGATGAAGTACAAATTTTATTCAAAAAAAGAAAACTCGAATTACCTGCATAATACATGACAAATACGAATGGATATTGTGCAATAGTTGCTGACAAGTGTGCGAGACTACCATTAAAATAATCGTCAATAACTCCATTTGATGATGATGATGTAAAAAATCGACGGGGTTCTTTATAGACGCCATCAGATGAAAAGAATCTGTCAACAAAACAAAATACATTATAATTGATTATTTCGAAAATTTCAGGTAAAACACACTAATCAGATTATACCGAAAAGAACAACATTTTTGAGTAATGAATATACAGATGAATAAGAACCAATTAGAATAGAACATTGTCAGAATAATTTATATCATTGACATTAATTTTGTTTGTTGTTTACTAATAAATATTTTTATTCAAAACAGTGTCAAACCAAAACAAAACAGATTAATAATCGATAGTTTGTTTCTCATATCAAAATTTCAATGCTAAAAAAAAAGTTTAATGCATAAAAATACTGGCAAATAAATATTTTTTCCCCACTTAAACATATTTCAAAAAATAACATGGACGCAGTGAGAAAAACGAATACTTTAAAAAAAAGAGTAAAGCTAAAAATTCTAATAAACTGCAAAGAAGATGAAAAAATCATCAACTTAATAGTTCATTCTAACGGTACCAGAGCACAATCTTCTCTTTTTTCGCAGTAAAATGGACTATAAAGTAGCGGTTATTTATTCTGTAGAAAACTTATATAAGGCTTCATAACACGAATAAGAAAATCTCAAAAACTGTAGCAACATAATTTGAATATATTTATAAAAAATTAAGCATTACTTTATAAAGTGTACCTGTAGGACAAAAAAGATTATGCATTCCTTTGTTATTTAAGGAGAAGTCATCTGCTCACTCGTTGTCGTGTGAGAAATTCTTTCTATAAATGGATCATTGCTAAATATTTCATATTTTATTTATTCAAAGAATGAATGAATGAATGAATTTTTGTTTTTGTAAAAGAGCACATGGACATTACAAGAAAGCTAGAACTTGTTTGAATGCAACAAAGAGATCAAATAGGTTTCATATAAGCGCGAATATTTTCTAAATCTAAAGGCGAATAGTACGCGGACTGGTGTAATTAAGCAACTTTAGCAAAGCGAATAAATTTTGTACACGCAATATATCAGGCTTTTAGGGTATGAATTTAATGTTTCACATACAGCTTATCAAAGCCGTATCTTCTTCTCAATGCTCGAACATAACAAAAAAACGTTCATTACTGCGTGTATATACGCCAAACCAGATAAATTGTAGTTTTATTAAACTCGAACAATAGTATATAAGTAGTAAATTAGAAAGAGAGCATAGAACATGTGGAATCTACTTACTAGCTTGAAAACTGTGCCGATTTCTGCTAATAACAATTTTAATTATCACAGCAACAAAACCGCTATAACAAAAATAGGGCGTACCAACATGTGTTTAGCGCTACGAGAAAAATATTCTTACCAAATGAGATGAATAATTAGAACAAAAAAATAGACATATGCATATATCTACAAATAAAAGAATACGTTTTTGTGCAACTTCGTTTAAATTTTAACGTGTTGAAACTGCTACGCATTGTATTTCTAAACACTTCCAGGTTTTATTTTTTTTCAACATTAGCCAAAATCTAGAGTACACTTCCGCTCGGGAGCCGCTTAAATTTGACGGAACGGCAAACCGTTAATTTTGATAAAAAGTTTGATTAAAATAAAAACAAGCACGTTTCCTTTCTTTCTGAGCTATCTCATAGATGTTTTGTAACAACTTTTGTAAACTATATCTCTATCACGAAGTATTTAGCAAAAAAACGACATATTTTCTGCACTTGAAGGTTACAAGCATATTACCGAATTCTTTCATACAACCATGTAGATTTGAAGCACAATTGCTATTTATTTTTTATACTTCTCCGAAAACAACAGTGAATAACAACGGTTTTAGTAGTACATCAGCAACAAAGAAAACGTTAACAGTGATATTGTTGACTTTTTTGGTGTTGTCTTGATTTTTCTCTCTTTTTAATTTTTGCTTATTTAGGCTTTCGATGTTGATTCTCTTGTTGACGATCGTCGTTTTGATTCACTACGTTTTCTTTCACGTTTTTCCTTCATATATTGTTGTACTAATTTTGCATATTCATTTTGTAATACACGTTGTTTTTCAGCACGTCTTTTCTTCATTGACAACAAGTGTCTTTTACGTTGTAAACGTCTTGGTGTAATGAGACGCTGAATTTTTGGTGCTTTTTGTCGTGGTTTTTTTCCTTCTTTTGTTAATGGTCGTCTAACAACATATTTTCGAACATCATCATCTTTACTTAAATTGAATAATTTTCGAATATGATTAGCACGTTTTGGCCCAAGACGACGTGGAATGGTTTTATTTGTTAAACCATCAATATCTTGTTCACCACGTTTTGTTATAACACATGCCAAAACCGATAAATTTGCATCAACAATACAACCACGTACTGATTTTCGACGACGTTCACCACTACGACTTGGACGATAACATTTATGGCGTTTATCCAACAACAGTCGAACTCGTTGATTAGTTAGGACACCCTGCATCATTGGAAAACCTTGTTTATCATTACCGCCAGTTATACGTAAAACATAACCGTTCCATTCATTACCCAAACAACTTGCATCAACTTCTTGTGCAATTCGTTTTTCCATAAACGGACGAAGTTTACGATCATCATCAATATCAATCAGCTTTTGACAGCCGGTAACTGGATAGGCAATATTCAATTTCATGCTGCCGATTATCTATCTAAAAGAACACAAAAAATAACAAATATCGGCTATTTGAAAATTCTTAAATCTCTTGAAGGAAAATGTTTTCGCTAAAATTTACCAATCACCTACTGACTTATACCTTGTGCTTTTTAACTCTATATTATAGCTATGTTTTTATCTATATGTCGTCCACTACTCACTGTGTGATAGAGCCGCGAGAAACATAATTTCTTCGTTAATCCATACACCAAATGAAAAAAGGGAACGATCTTTTCTCTTACGCTAAGGTGTTATCTCATTGCTACTAAATTCTGGTGATTATCTTTAAACAGTATTATATATACCACTCAGTTGCTCACTAATTATCACTTTTATATGTGAAAAAGCAAAAAACTACTAATTAAACTCATCCACTCAGACGGTACGTGGCGATCACATTCGAGGGAAACAGCAGTCTTTATAAATAATTCGAAGGTAGGTGCTTCGGAATAGGTTCGAAGCAGTAGATAATAATTTAGAAACTATCGAGTATAAAACTACTAGCATAGTTTCCAAAGCAATTTTTATGTTCATTAAGCAATAAAAGAACTTTTCAAACCAACTAATTTATTTAAAATCGAGTTTATTTCTACTTTTTGTTTATTCAAAAATACCGATAGATGATACATTAATATATGATATTACTACACGATTCTATTAGTCAAATCGATCGAATTAGAAGAGGAAAACAAATGCGTAGTCATTAGAGTATTACACAACCTTCATCTTTTAACAAAAATATTTTTACGGTTCATGTTCCTTTTTTTAAAACTACTTGTTAAGTTTAATAACAATTATTTTTTTTAGACTAAATGTAAATTTGAAAGTTTTAGTATTAAAAGATGTCGCTCAAGTTTCAAATCGTTAAATACTGAACTTCTGAACCAATCTAGGGAGAAAGGAACCAAGTAATTAGATTCAGGTACATATTAGCAAGAAAACATAATCAAAAGTTCACCATTCTTCTGGTATTGTACAGAGTATTTTATTTGCGAAAGAATACAGAACGAAAGAATCACACTAATCAAAAATCTAAGATAACTTAACAGCATTCATGCTGATAAGTTTTATGTCAAAGTATCTTAATCATAACCAAATGATGATTGATTGTATCCTGATTTTTTTCCTCATGTGTATCATAAAAATTAAAAGAAATTTAGTTGAGAAAAGCGCTGAATAAACTGTTATTCAGTTTGATAAAATTCTGCTACGACCGTTCTGAAACGCTGGTTTTTAGTAATTTGTGCGTCGAGCAAAACGGCTTTTCACTTTAAAAATTTGCTTTACATTCTGTTTTCAACAGAGAATTGTGTGAAATCTGGTGGTAAACTATGAAAATTCACTTCGCTTAAAAATTTGCAGCAAAGATGGCGTATTTTCATAGAAAGGAGGTAACTGATTT